TCACTACATCCTGAATAAATGATTAATTATTTATTATTAATATTCTCGAATTGGGGGAACTGTTTTTAAAGGATAAAGTATGGCAGTGAACAACAGGACTATTTGTTGGCGATTTCGATTACTTCCGTAGTGTGCAAAAGACTATAAAGATGGGCTGGACAGATCTATACATAAATACCTTCATATTTAACAAACCAACAGTGAGACAGGTGTCCCCAGCTGATATCCCAAAATAAATAGATGACACACATTAATTAATCGCACATTTATTTTTTCAAAAGTATCAAGCAATCAAACTGATTATCAACTACTAGTATACACTAAGTTTTTCCCAAAGCATCGACCAATTAAATTGCTGAGCTCTACTTAGCTTTACCTTGAAATGTTAATCATTGAACTCAGTAATGGAAATCTACTGAACTCAGTAATGGAAATCTACATCAAGTTTAAACATTCTACCTCAATTAAAAGCAGAGTTATTATGTTCCAAAGTCTTGACCAATCAAACTGCTTATCGCTCCTTAGCCTAAACAGAAAATTTTCATCATCGAACTTAGTCAAGGTAATGATATAATGAATCTATATGCTCGGAGTTTCATCACTCTCACTTAATTATAACCAAAGTTATCGTGTCCCAAAGAATCAACCAATCAGATTGCTTATCTCTGCTTACCGTAAGCATACAATGCTTATCATCGATCTCCATCAAGGCATTCACTTAATGAACACCTACACCAAGTTTGAACATTCTACCTCAATTAGGAGAGTTATTGTGTTCCAAAGTTTCGACCAATCAAATTGCTTAACGCTCTGCTTACCCTGAGCAGAAAATGCTCATTATGGAACTTAGTCAAGGTATTGATATAATGAAACTATACACCAAGTTTGATCCCTCTCACTTAATCAGAATTAAAGTTATTGTGTCCCAAAGTGTAAACCAATCAATTTGCTTATCTCTGTTTACCCTAAGTAGCATGTAGCAACCAAATTTTATTTTTTGAGCAATTGCTTTGAAAATTGGCAGAAATAATTGCCCAAACATTAGAATTTCAAAACCATTTACATTTTTAGAATCGGACTTATACTTTTTTTAATATTCAATTTTTTTTAATTTTGTTTTTTCGGTCCGAAATCGAAATCTGGTCCCAAAAGTGGTAATTTGACTTCAGTGCATGTAAAAAAATTATTTTTCAATGAATTAACATGATTACTCCTTATTAATTTCACAATCATTCAGATAACAAATAAGACCCCCTTTTTGCAGGAAAAGTGGTTATCAATGACCAGGGTTAGGATTAAGGTTGACAGTTGTTTGCTATTTCTCCTTTTTAAACATTTGCTCCCATCACACAAATCCTAAAATATGCATTTCAAGCAGGGGAAAAGGAAGATATATGGAGAAATAGAAAGAAGGATGTGGAGAGAGGGTTTAAACTCCACATGACTCAGACTAGGTCATTTTGGGACAAACATACACCATTTTAATTCAATAATTTGCTTGTCAGTAAAGGTCTTTAGCAGTGGGGAGGCCGCAGAAAAAACCCATGAGGTTGGGCAGTTGACCCTACTCCTTGGAAACTGAATCTAAACACATAATACTTTTAATATCATTTATTTAAGCTTAACATTTTTTTTAATTGAAAAAAAAAAGAACAAAAATGCACATTTATGAAACATGAAATTGTAAAAGTAGGTTGCCAGGCAACGAAACATACCCCCAAAGCAGCTATATCGTCCGGGCAGTCAACAAGAGTTGTCGCATATTTTTACTTTTTTCGGTAATGAAGCATTTATAATACATTAAAATCTGATTAAGAGTAACAACTCATTAAGTAATTATCAGAAAACCATTAGAATTTGTTTGGTTTTTATAAAGTTCTGTCCCATGCTAATGTTTAGTATACAAAACTTTTAACATCATGGATTTAGCTGTTCAAGTAATAAAGATTCATTGAAAATCAATATACTTGTTCGTCTCAAGACCTTAAACTCTGTGTACCAATCTGAAGTCAATCGGATGATAACTTTAGACTCTAGAGCGTCACAAGATTTTCAAAGTGATCAAGGGCCATGACTCTGGCAGTAATTATCCGAAATCGTTGAGAATCAATATGATTCTTCATCTCATGACCTCAAACTCTGTGTATAAATTTAAAGTCAATCGGATAATAATTTTAGCCTCTTTGTCTCATGACCTTAAACACTGTGTATAAATTTGAAATCAATCGGATATTAACTTTGACCTCTAGAGCGTCCACAAGATTTTTTGAAGTGATCAAGGGCCATAACTCTGGCAGTAATTATCGGAAATAGCTGAAAATCAATAGGCTTCTTCGTCTCATGACCTTAAACACTGTGTATAAATTTAAAGTCAATCGGATATTAACTGTAGCCTCTAGAGCGTCCACAAGCACGTGTGGACGCGGGACGGACGGATGGACGGACGGACAGACGGGGGCGACGACAATATACGACCACATTTCAATGTGGGCGTATAAAAAGTAAAATTTGTTTCTAAAGCAACTGATTTGATATACCAGTACCTGAAAATAGATATAAAATAGTAAAATTACAACAAGGCTTTTAAGATTTCATCCTACAAAATATTCAATTCAGTTCAATTTAAAGGAGATAAATCGCTAATATTTGGGACCTAGAAATTGACCCAAATTGGTCGAAACGCATATAATAATGTAATCCGATTGTATATAAACTGATTTACATTCAATTGTTTCCTTTTTGACTCTAATTTCAAATCAGTTATATGTCCAGCGAAATACAGCATGTGTCTCAACCCTATAGCAATTTCTAGCGTCTGGTTATTCCAGTCTATTAAGCAGGCTCTCCTGATGAATATGTCTAGCCTCGTTCTTTCTGGTCACTTGTTGTTAATGACGCTAAAAACACTATGGTACACGATTCGTGTACCAATGGTAAAATGTTTATTTTGTCTTAAATATTGGATATCAGAAGCCTGCCTTTTCCTGGTAAGATCACAACATCAATGTTGATTTGAATTGACAAATAATTCGTATTTTCAACGTGTAAGATTTTGGATGATATTGAGTTAGAGACTTAGCTACTTTAATTCTTAATAAATAAATAAATAAATAAAATAGATATTGGTTATTTATATAAAATAATAACAATACATGGTATTATATAATAATAAATAAATAAATAAATATTGGTTATTTATATGAAATAATAACAATATATAAAAGATATTTGTCGTTTTAGAGTGAATAACATATTTTATTTCATCGAGAAGCAAGAAAACTTATATTTTCACGAATGCGTAGCATGAGTGAAAATATAAATGTTTTCTTGCTTAGAGATGAAATAAAATATGTTATTCACGACAAAACGACAAATGTTCTATTTATTTTATGATTTTACAATCATTTTAAGTAAAAACAACATGGACTTCTTTAGCCAGTGGAATAACACTTTTATTTCACTGATAAAACGCGGTATTCCACTACTGATCATAAAATAAATGGTATTATATATAATAATATTTGGAAGGTTTCAAACAATAATTGTTTTTTTTTTGCTAGCCATTTCTTTTTGTTTATCAACTAGTTGGGGTAACAATTTTTGATATGACAGATAGTCTGGTCACTGAACGCATAAGGCCTCTGCTTCAGAGTCTTTCGTAAACAGCTTGCATAGAAAAAATAAATAAAATGAAATAAACTAAACAAACCAGTGAAAAGGATTAGTTTTCATACCCACCTAATCTGATAATACTAGTGACAAACAAATTATTTTTACAATTTAAAAAAAGACAGCCTACTCGTAATATCGCATGACATTATGTCATATGTCAGTGATAATAAATTGGCCTAACATTTCACTTTAGTTTCTATGTGAATTATTCTTTGTTGATACAATATATATAATTCTGCTTTTAAAAAACGTGAGTTCATACGGTTTTATTTATGTCTGTCAATAATGCTGTTTCTTCGGGTCGATTTCGGTCCATTTTCTACAGATCGAATAATATCGGCTAAAATTTAATCATTAATATAGTATAAACATGAGTAGTTTTATTTTCCAAGTCATGTTGTAACTGATCTATGTAAAAAAAAAGACAGAATAAGCACATTTTTACGGAATGAAATCAAATAGCTACAGCGTTCGACATAGGCATCCATGATGGATATTCAACTTTCGGTTTATCACCATGTACCGTTATTTGCTGTATTTTTTACTTAATTCTCAATTTAACGCATGATTACGTCCATGACAATTCGGTTTTTAATTTTTTATGAATAGAATATTCTCTGAAGTGTCAAAAAATCATAAAATTGTGTTGGAATATTCCTACATAAAGAAATGGAAAATATTAATTTTTTAAAATTCTAGCAAAAATCGTTCCACTCACCTGATACTGGTCCAATTGTCATATTCCACAGGCCCAACATTCTCCCGAACATCTCCCGCCAAGTTACATCATCCGCCAATAAAAATAAAGGTACGGTCAAACGTAATTCAATACCTACTTTTCCGCTTAAAATCATAACCAGTTTTTGGACCAAATATTAAGCCAAACAGAGTTAACTGCCCTTGAGCATGGTACACGCTACCCTAAGCAGAAATTGCTTATCTTCGTACTCATACCAAACTTAGGCTGACTGTCTACAGTTAGCCCCGCTGAGAACTAAGCTAGTTGACCGACATTTTAAGTTCTCAATCGACAATTGTAGTCGAAAACACAAAGTAAAGTTCGAGAATTTTTAGAAGTATTTATTCTGCTTCCATTTAATGGAATTGAATAGGTTTATTTAGTCTTTGTGTGTGTGCTTGGTGTGAAACAGAGTAGAAGCGCAGTAGAAAACAATATACTAATTTTTGGATATGGCGGCCATTCAGGACAGAGATTTATTCTCAAAGTATGAAGTAGATGATCTCTGTGTGCAGAATGCTTCGTAAACATAACATGAATCAAAAGCATTATATGATTTGCTAGTAGTAATATGACATAAGAAACTCACATCATCTTATGTACAGATATCTTTTGTGTTGATAATAGTGTATGGCTCACACTACATAAAGCTTCCAATACTCTTGTATCATTCATATGGTGTATAAAGTTTAATATACAGCTTCTATGATTGGAAGAATCCAAGAGATTTAACAAATGTTCTCTTAACTCACACATGTTGTTGCATTCGCCTCCCTAAAACAAATATATTAACATATTATAATAACAGTGAACATAAAGATAGGTTGCTAGGCAATGAAACATATGCCCATAGCAGGTAAATCATCCGAGCGGTCGACAAGGGTTGTTGCATATTTATTCTTTGTAGGTGAGAGAGAGAGAAAGATAGGTTGCCAGGCAACGAAACATACGCCCACAGCAGCTACATCGTCTGGGCAGTCAACAAGAGTTGTCGCATATTTTTACTTTTTTCGGTAATGAAACATTAAAATCTGATTAAGAGTAACAACTCATTAAGTAATTATCAGAAAACCATTAGAATTTGTTTGGTTTTTATAAAGTTCTGCCCCATGCTAACGTTTAGTATACGAAACTTTTAACATCATGGATTTAGCTGTTCAAGTCATAAAAATTCATTGAATATCTCAAGACCTTAAACTCTGTGTATCAATCTGAAGTCAATCGGATGATAACTTTAGCCTCTAGAGCGTCACAAGATTTTTCAAAATGATCAAGGGCCATAACTTTGGCAGAAATTATCGGAAATTGTTGAAAATCAATATGATTCTCCGTCTCATGACCTCAAACACTGTGTATAAATCTAAAGTCAATCGGATATTAACTTTAGCCTTTAGAGCGTTCATAAGATTTTTCAAAGTACTCTGGCAGTAATTATCGGAAATCGTTGAAAATCAAAAGGTTTCTTCGTCTCATGACCTTAAACACTGTGTATAAATTTAAAGTCAATCGGATATTAACTTTGACCTCTAGAGCGTCCACAAGATTTTTTGAAGTGATCAAGGGCCATAACTCTGTCAGAAATTATCGAAAATCATTGAAAATCAATACGCTTCTTCGTCTTATGACCTTAAACACTGTATGTAAATTTAAAGTCAATAAGATATTAACTTTGACCTCTAGAGCGTTCACAAGATCTTTTGAAGTGATCAAGGGCCATAACTCTGGCAGAAAATCAATAGGCTTCTTCATCTCATGACCTTAAACACTGTGCATAAATTTAAAGTCAATCCGATATTAACTTTGACCTTTAGAGCGTCCACAAGATTTTTTGAAGTGATCAAGGGCCATAACTCTGGCAGTAATTATCAAAAATCGCTGAAAATCAATAGGCTTTTTCGTCCCATGACTTTAAACACTGTGTATAAATTTAAAGTCAATCTGATATTAACTTTAGCCTATAGAGCGTCCACAATTATGACGGCTGGCCGAATGGCCGGACGGAGGCAACAACAATATACGACCACATTTCAATGTAGCCGTATAAAAATGGGATTTAACGTCCACTCGACACAAACTAGGTCATTTCGAGACTAACACATGGTTCAATTTTATTTCAATAATTCACTTGCGAGTAGGTGTCTTCAGCAGTGGGAGGAAACCAGGTGACCAAGAGAAAACCCACAAGGTTGGACAAGTGACCCTACTCCTTGTCAGGTACAACCAGGGAATCGAAACGCCGCCAGATGACTCAATCACAGACCTTATGATACAGCGCGCACGTGCTAACCATTCGCCCATTCAACTCTTTGTACGTAATGGGGGCCATTTACAATACAATTTCATACATATCAGTTTTTAATATTTGTCGTTGGTGGGTTAAAAATGTTCTACAAACTGAAACAAGGGACTTAATTCTGGAAGTAATTTACAGAAATTGTTTCATGCATATAAATTTCACACAGATCGGATAATAACTTTTGTCGATCAAGCATTCATAAGGTTCAACAAAGTGAAACAAGGGCCATACCTCTAGATGTAATTAACAGAAATTGCTGAAATTCAATAGACTTCTTCGTTTCACTAATCGAAATGGTAGCCTACAAATACATTTCATACAGATCGGATAATAACTTTTGTCGTTAGAGCAAACAGAATGTCATAAGTCAACCTGGGACATTCTGGTCCTCGTGAATTAATTTCGGTAGAACGGATTTAACACGATTGGCAATGCAGCCTGATATGGCTTTGTAGCAAGAATTCAACAGCGTTATGGGCCTCCAGTTATGCCTGGACTTCGTTTCGTTTCTGATTTTTCACGATAGTAGATAGTTCGCTTATAGAAATTGGACCTTCAAATGATTTACTAATTTCTGTTGATAATTTTTTTTCTAGAAAAATTGCTTTTGTTTAGTTGTTCATAGAAGAATTTAACTTGTTTCAATATTTCGGTCTGGTCCGAAACTTTGCCCGATAGTTCACTATCAATTTCTTGGATATTTTTGTTTGTATAATTTCTTTTTTCTAGACTGAGGAAATATGAAGTACTTCTTTCCCCTTCCTCTGTCCATTTTTCTCTGGTCCGAAACTTTGCCCGATAGTTCACTATCAATTTCTTGGATATTTTTGTTTGTATAATTTCTTTTTTCTAGACTGAGGAAATATGAAGTACTTCTTTCCCCTTCCTCTGTCCATTTTTCTCTGGTCCGAAACTTTGCCCGATAGTTCACTATCAATTTCTTGGATATTTTTGTTTGTATAATTTCTTTTTTCTAGACTGAGGAAATATGAAGTACTTCTTTCCCCTTCCTCTGTCCATTTTTCTCTAGATCTAACAAGAATCCTTCAATTTTCTTTTTCCTATATTCTTCTAATTTTGAATTCAAATTTTGCAATTGTTCATAAAGTTCGATGTTGTTGGGATATATGTCGGTTTTGTTTTCAGTTTCTTGTATTTCTGACATCAATTTTTGTTCTTCCTTTTCCTATATGAGGCAAATGATTTTCCCACTTAAATGCAAAAGCAACATTTCAAAGAGCAATTGGTCATCAATCATATATTCAAGGTCATTAATTGTGGAACTTCAACAAATTCTAGACTGTATGGTGAAGCTGCATAAAACTCTTTGATATAGTTGATATTTTCTTTGATCATTGTAACAAACAGCTCGTCATACAGTAAGGAATTGTTAAATTTCCAGTAACCTTTTGCTCTTTCATGTTTACTAATAATCAGGGCAATGGAGATGGCAGAATATTTTTTTTCGTTTTTGTGGAACGAACGCCAGACGTCAATTAATTTGTATTTCTGACAGCTCCATTTTTGCCCTCTGATTATTTACATGTTTATAATTATATGTATCCACACATTAATTCAAGGTTAAATTCCAATCCCCACAGAGGATGTATCTATCACTGCCAAACTGCTTTAGATTCATATTAAATTCTTGATGGAAGCCAGAACTATCCGAGTTAGGCCCATAAATATTACCAAGTATAAATTTTATGTCATTTATCTCTAATTCTATAAATATGTAGTTGCTATTGGTCCAGTCTTTTTTAACCTTATGTTTTTTATATTATAATTTATTTCCGAACAAGATAACCATTCCGCTGCTATATATTTTTCTAATTTTTGTTCCAAGTGCGTATCCTGCAAGCAAATGATGTCTACATTCATCAGAAGTAGTATATCCATATAAGTGTGTTTTATTTTTAGTGAAATCTATTTCTATATGTCTTATAAGGATTATGTTAAACATCATTATGGAGATGAGACGTTAAAAGTGATTAACCAACTTAAATGTGTGCAATCTAAATTGTGTAAATCATCGTCTAGTTTAATCTTTTTGTTACGCTGTCGTGATAAAAACATAATACCGAAGGGTTTTCGTCTTAAATCGCCAATTAATTCCTCTAAAGCCAACCAGATACTCAAATGTGCAAGTCAGCGATTGATAAAAGAACGAATATCTCATCATAGAAAAGTAAAACATTCACTGAAAATTACAGAGACTAGATTGTTAAACACTATATTAAATACTTTAACACCATCGGATTATACTAATTTTACAAATTTAAATCAGAAAGCAACGGAAAAAATTAGATTAGAAACAAAACAGAGACAGACAAAGAAGTTCAACCATCTTCAAGTAGAAGACAGTAAAGCGGGTAAATCCAAAACCTCAGATAAAAGCAAGAAAGAATACCTAAAGAAAACAGTTATCAACCTCTCATCCCACACCCTTACAAATGATCAGATACACCTCCTATCGAAAGGACTTAAATTTATACCATCCAGTAGCAAACCACCAACAGAAACGTTCATCGTGAATATAGAAAAAGGTCTTCAGCAGCTAGCCCCGAATGGTAAAATAAATTACATCAGACACCAAATCAAAAAGATTCTAGAGAAACCAGCTATAACCAAACCTAACCTAACCAAAGAGGAAACCCGGGCAATCAAAGAATTAAAGGAAAATAAAGACATATCGATAGTAGCAGCTGACAGTATTGATTATTCTGTTAAATGGTTTCCACTTGTTACCTATATATTGTACCACATTTATTGTTGATTATCATTATTTGCTTGAAAACGATATCTGTATGTGTATCGAAACGTAGCATGTTAATAAATTCAGAAGTAGTATATCCATATAAGTGTGTTTATTTTTAAGAAATAATCGTATGGAACAAAGACAAACATCAACCAGCGCATGCCAGGCAGGATACGTCCACATTTTCGAAAGATGGATAGAGAACAAGCTAAAAAGAAAGTGATTTTGATACGCCCACATTGAAATGTGGTCGTATATTGTCGTCGCCCCCGTCCGTCCGACGTCCACAATTGCTTGTGGACGCTCTAGAGGCTAAAGTTAATATCCAATTGACTTTAAATTTATATACAGTGTTTAAGGCCATGAGACGAAGAAGCCTATTAATTTTCAGCGATTTCCGATAATTACTGCCAGAGTTATGGCCCTTGATCACTTCAAAAAATCTTGTGGACGCTCTAGAGGCCAAAGTTAATATCCGATTGACTTTAAATTTATACACAGTGTTTAAGGTCATGAGACGAAGAAGCCTATTGATTTTCAGCGATTTCCGATAATTACTGCCAGAGTTATGGCCTTTGATCACTTCAAAAAATCTTGTGGACGCTCTAGAGGCGAAAGTTAATATCCGATTGACTTTAAATTTATACACAGTGTTTAAGGTCACGAGACGAAGAAGCCTATTGATATTCAGCGATTTCCGATAATTACTGCCAGAGTTAT